TCTGTAACGCGTCGCCAATGGTCTATAATGCGCGCCATTATCAGTGGAGCTTCCGCGAGCTCTCGAGCGAGCGAAATAATCCCGGCAATAATCGCTGGTTGTAGGCCGTCGAGAGACCATGACCCCCTTTCTAGATTGCGCTAGGCAAAGGTCTCGGGGACGCGCGCAGGGCAGTCGGGGGAATCTGCGAATTCTACGATAGCGATGTTGTGCCACCTGACAAGTTCGCTCCATCTTGTTGTCTCTCGGTGACTGACGAGAGTGATCGAAGGACACGAGATGTCCTGTCACGAGATGAACGTATCTGTTCGGACAAAAGCTGACGCGAAGGGATAAGTGCGTCATTATTAATCACTTTATCATATATATATACGAAGATGTAGGGTTTAACATCGAAGCCTCGGCTTCGAGCGGAGGGGAAAGGGGAAAGGAGGCCTCCTGCCGCGTATCCTTCCCGGCGACGTGTCCTTCAAAAGGCACGTTTGATTCGGCTACGTCACTACGTGGCACATCGAATACTACCATAAATCGAAGGCGAATGCATTATCTCATCAGCGGTACCGGCGCGTTCCAGTTTCTGAAGCGGAGCCCTGCTTATGCTGCTGACGAGAGCGTTCACGACGCGACGCGACACGACACGACACGATACGACACGGATACACACGCGAGACCGCGGCAGCGAGTTAGAAAGAAAGGAAGCGAACGGTCGACCGGCTGACCAACCACGGATACGCCTTCGGGTGGTTGCCTACCATAAGTCGTGCAGGTCATGCACGACGGGTCAGGAGAGAGAAGTCAGTCATACCGACGCCGTGCTACCATTCGCGTCAGTGATTGGTCGAGTCTGCAGGAGCTCTGTCCCGAGGATACCAAAGCCGATCGCAAGCCGTATCGATACACACGTGCAAACGTGCGCGCAAATTTGACCTAGACGAAGGGCCGGAAGCTTTCGCGGGGAGCTCGTGGATGGTGCATTCGTATTATCTTCCGACAGGTTTCTCTGTCACGTGACGACGGGTGGGTAGAGAGATGAGAGACGAGGGAGCGATAGGGAGAGGAAGAGAGAGAGAGAGAGAGAGAGAGAGAGAGACCTAAAGGAGTGAGAGGCTGTGAAGACGTGTGAGATGGATCTCTGGTATGAGTGGCTGTTTCGTGTTCTCTTCTGGTTATCTTCACCTAGTTCACGAGCGAATTGCATACACGGCTCAGCGGGAGAGAGAGAGAGAGCGGGATCGCGAGAGCAAGATGCCAAGGGAAAAATTCTACTCACTAGATGCCCGTGCATCGTGACGAGGGTGATTATTCAATGCAGCAACGATCAGTTGGAAGACTTTCTCGCGGTGGTCAACATCGTCCTCAAGTGACGCGCGTGAGGCACGTGAGCTGGTCGGGCAGAATTCACTTTTACCGCGCGGAAACTCGCTCGCTTCATTGAGCAGCTAATAGTACTCCAGAGCGTCTAACATTTTCGAGAGGCTCTTCGTTGATCGATCCACCGCTGTTGAGGTTTTAGTCGAGTTAGAGTCGGCCCGGTCGGGTCACATCAAAGACTCTTTGTGGGGCTTGCCCTCGTCAGCCTCCTCGTCGCGGCACTTTAGGCGAGAGCATTTTTTCCGCTCGTCCCTTGTACCCTGGACGGAGGGTGCAGGAGGGACGCGGGGGGAAACAGGGGCGACTCTTAACTCGAAGCAAACCATAAACAAGTCGCGAGGGATTCAACGACACGAAGCCTCAAAGTTAACGAAATCGAGTCGTCCTAGTTGCGCGCAAGTTGGCGAGAACAGTGTAATCCGTTCGAAGCTACCCCTACTGTAACGATCGAAGGTTGATTGGCGAGCTCTACTTACGCAGCACGTTTAACACGGATGACTTTGTACCACTGACGCTTACTTTGCGCCTCTATTTCTGCCTTTCTTTCATGCGGCAATGTGTAGAGCTTCGCATGTTTATTAACGTTTCAATACAGCAACTTTGTTCGCGTAGGTCGCTCAGGGATGTAAGCAAGATATCTCGCGTTTCTCTCATGGGTCTCTCCCGAGATGTCGGATGAAACGTAAGTTACGGGTGGAATTTAAAGATCGAAATGGACGCACGTATCGCGTGCCTTCTCTTTCAATGCGGTCAATTGGGTCCACATTTGATAAATTGTCGACACACATTTTCACAAGGTCGATATCTGTATCGCCGGTCGTTGCCGGGCGTTTCTTTAGGTTTACACAAGATGTTACTCAGTTGACATAGTGGGGACATAGTGGTGACGTTCTACTTGAAATTCTATTACTTTGTTGCAGAGCTAACTTTAGCCAGCTGTAATTTTCATGTCACCGCATGTTTAATGGATCCGCAACTTCAGATTCGTTTCGTTTAGTTGCGTTTAGACTCACGAGTCCATTAAGGTTATTCGGTTATTACCGAATCGTCGGGCACGAGTCATATCCGTGCCGACGATTTCTCCTCTCTTTCTCTTTTTGTTGCTCCTCCTTTGCTCATTGTTAAAAATTGCGCGCTCGCTTATGGGAGTTATAGCGATTTCACCTTATCCCTGAACACCTTTCGTGCAGGACGGCGCGCGACTGCACGGAACCATCGTGTCCGCTTTCGAATCGAGGTTAGCGTGCCAGGTGAGCCTCGTTTTCTGATATTGACCAGGTGCTTGTGGCGCTTTGCGGCGCCTTGTAACACCGCCATCTTCCAACTGTCGGCGGAAGCGTGCTGGTGAGATCACGTTTTTTCTCTCTCTCTCTCTCTCTCTCTCTCTCTCTCTCTCTCTCTCTCCTTACGGTAGATCAAATCACGGCGAAGAAATATCTCGTTGAAATATTTCGTACTTATATCGCTATTAAACCCGCGAGTTTTATTGTACATCTTTGAGTCCGACGACGACGACGAGGGTGCTCGATTGTATTTCTGCGAGTGGCCTTGAGGAGGCCGCGGGAAAAAGCGGGAAAGGCGAAAGACACTGTGTGACCTTCCAACCGGGAAGATTGAATGGCGAACGCGAAGGTCTGGGTGCGCGCAATCGTGTAGGTCGCTACATTCATCTTCCGTGTGACCAAATACAGCGGTTAAAGGCAAACTCGAGTGGAGTAGATTGGCCGATCGCCAACTCGATCAACGGACTGCATCGCCACGTGTTTTACTCGTGCGGAGCCGCGAGCTCGTCAACTACAGACGGTTATTCCGTTTTATTATTAGATGCTTTCTCATCCTCGATCTATCTCGCGACTCGAGCGTTTCATCATTGCCCTGCTTTTCTCCACGTACAATAATCAGCTGGTGTTGTGCTGCCACCCAGCGGCCCGCGTTCGGACTCGGATGTTTTGGGGGTGACGGTTGAAGCGGATGGTGGCTAATAGTCGTTTTCAGTCGGCATCTTCGTGCGATCGCGACGGGCGATCGATTGACGTATTGTCTCTCGACGTATCGCGCGATTGTTCTTCTCAATCGTAGTCACAATTCTATGGAAACTTTTAAGCAATGCGAGCTTATTGTCCAGCTGTTGCTCTGACAAAACTCTCGAGAATATCGATCTCAGGACGAGTTGCTTCTTTTGACTTTAGGTACTGCGGAACTTCAATCGCGATAGTTCTTGCTCTGAAACGGAAAGACAAGTGGAACGTAGAAGGTTGTTGGATCTCTTCCCTCGAAGAGAGTTACTTCGACACAGATTCGTGTTTAAAACGAAACATAAATGCTGTTCAATTTGAAAGTACGCTCTGGAAACTCAACGACAATTATGTGTATATGTGTGTATACGCGCGCGCGTGTGTGTGTGTGTTTATGAGTGAGAGAGAGAGAGAGAGAGAGAGAGAGAGAGAGGAGGAGGGAGAATGAATGAAAGAACGAGAAGGAAAAATAGAACTGTTTTCGAATCGGGCAGTGCGTGCGTGGCTAGGTAGGGTTAGTTATTATCGCTCCGATCGGCGTGTCAGCCTGCTCGCACACCTCCTACCAACTAATCGGGGTTATCCCACTGCCCCTGTTCTACTCCGAGCCTTTCACCCCCGCGACTACCCTCCTTGACCAGCCCGTCGCGTCGCACTCGTCGCTCCGCTGGCGTCTCGTGGTCTGCGGTGCTGCCACCAATCTCTTTCTTCGAAAATCAGGAACATGGTACGCGGGCGCGAAGGGGGTGGTTTACAGTGGCAAGTTAGAACCGATGACAGCTTGTTCGCGTGAATGGATTCAATTCAAGCTGTGTCATCTGGGCTTTCCACGACGCCGGCTGCGCCGCTGACCTCGTACCTGCGCGTTCTTAGCCGCGTCACCGACGATCCCGCTGACCGGTACGGGCCAAGTTAGACTTGTTTATCAACCGACCGAGTGTGTTTCCCTGCACCAGATGAGGAGAGGACGCGGCCGCGAAGTCGGTGTCAGCGGGATCTCCCCACGTTTCGATCGAGTCGTGTGACCAGCGGGCGCGCGTTTCTCGCTCGCAAGTCCGTTCTCCACCTGGCCGATCCACGTTTAAACTCGGCTCGGTGCACTAGAAGTCGTCGGTGCCACCACCCTTTTCCAATTTCCGTACGTCGTTGCACCCTCGTATCTCATCGCGCGCCGCGGTGCTGCCACCACGCGGCGGAAGTAAGGGCGGATCAACGCAGCGGGAAGGGGTCGCGGAAGGTTGCGTCGCGTCGCGTCGCGTCAAGTGAGTCGGCGTGATCGCGGGACGAAAGTAGGGTCGCGTCATCTCGCAGCATCTCTCGACGTGGTCGTCGTCGACGTCGCCGCCGCCGCCGCCGCCGCCGCCGCCGCCGCCACCGTCGTCGTCGTCGTCGTCGTCGTCGTCGTCGTCGTCGTCGTCGTCGTCGTCGTCGTCGTCGTCGTCGTCGTCGTCGTCGTCATCGTCGTCGTCGTCGTCGTCGTCGTCGTCGTCGTCGTCGTCGTCGTCGTCGTCGTTGTCGTCGTCGTCATCGTCGTCGTCGTCGTCGTCGTCGTCGTCGTCGTCGTCGTCGTCGTCGTCGTCGTTGTCGTTGTCGTCGTAGTCGTCGTCGTCGTCGTCGTCGTCGTCGTCGTCGTCGTCGTCGTCGTCGTCGTCGTCGTCGTCGTCGTTGCTGAAGTTGCTGCTATTGGTGTACACGTTGTTGCACCGTCTGTCCTCCCCCGCAGTCGCAGCCGCGTTGCCACCCTCGTAGTCTCCCGCGTTTCTGGCGTGTCTCCTCCCTGCCCCCAGCTCCTCCCTCTCCTGCCGCTCGTTGTCGGGGGCGCGCGTCTTAACCCCTCCCGGAAGTCGGATGAGTGGCGTGTACGAGTCCGAGTGAAAGGGACAGCCAGAGATCAATCAGTAGTGGCGCGTGTATGAGTCCGGGCGATCCGGCGTGCCGGGTTCCCACCCGGCTACGCGGCGGCGCGTCCACGGGCCCTTCGTCGTGGTCACCCTCGGCGCGTTCACAGTGCTCGGTGCCGCGGCCCGGTGAATTCGCAGTCAGGCCAAAGAGCGAGAAGAGCCGTCGTCGGCCGGCCGAACCGCCAGCTGCCGAAGCTTGTGAGCGGAAGAAGGTGCGCGAGGTCGTCGGCAGGGGTAGTCACAGAGGTCGGAGAGGTGGAGTCATCGCGGGCGGCGATCATCGCGGGTTTGAATGGGTGGGCCGGGCGCCGGTAGGGTTACCAGGCACGAGCTGAACGCGGTGCCCCAGAGCCACGTCGATCACGGGGAACGTGTCCTCGTTATTGGCGAGCCGCCAGCATCATCAGGCTGCCGCTGTCACGCTCCGGAGCGAGCATCCGGCAGTGCCGACCGCCCGTCCGCCCAGCAACTACCACCCTCGCCGCCGCCGCTTACCTCCCTACATATCGGCAACAGCAACGGCACCGTCTGCGCCGTCATCAGCTGCAACAACAACAATAACATCAACAACAACAACAACAGCACCGCCAAGCCGAGTGACGGCAAAACTAAGAAAGCGGCCGCCATGTCTTCTCCGCCGAAACATCGCCGGGGCTTCGACCCCAACGACCCGGCGGAATATCACCGCTATCGTCGCGTTAAGACGAAGCAGCGGTGAGTGCATTCACCTGTCAATATATATATATATATATATATATATACATACACATATATATATATATATCGATTGTTTTTCTCTTGATCCGTTGGAAAGCTCTCATTGATAATCGGCTGATATATTTATCGCGCCATCATCCACCATCCCTTCTCACCTTCTTCATTGTCTTTATGTACAGTTCCTTGTCCTGATCACTCGTCCGGTCGTGGGTGGAGCCTGGTTTCTAAGCTAAAGTTCTCTTGGTCCACATGTACAACCAACCGGCCGGACCTTTCAGACCGGTTTATCTTCGCTGTAACCGCAAGTTGCGGCACGTGTAATTCTTTCTGGCGAATCTCCAAGGTTAAAGTCTGCTTCCAGCTTGGAGGTGTGATTCATGTAATTACTCGGCGGTTACGTCGAGTTTGATCGCGTTCCACTCGCGGCTAGTCCCTTCGCGAGTGTCGACTCGATCGGGCCAACGGGACGGTTGCCCGTTGGTCAACGCCGTTGGTTGGAACAGTCGAGTCGACGTCGCTCTTCTCCACCTAAGTTTTGAATTCTCTTTCGCGATCCGTCGCGAATACTCACCGCCGGCTGAGCGGTGGAAATACCGCGTTATATTCTCCGCAGTGGATCGTCACCGGAGAAGTACAATGACGCGCGTGACTCGCCGTGACTCACGTGTTTTCGTGGATTCAACGTTATTTCCTATCGATCGGTGTCTGTGTGTGTGTGTGTGTGTGTGTGTGTATGTGTGTGTGTGTATTGTCACGCGTACGCGTTTTCTTTTCCTGCTGCTTTCGATCACTCGATGAAATTAATCGTATAACGAGTATACGCAGGTAACGGCCGACGTCCTGACAGGCGGCTGTTACCTGCGGAGAATTCACGAGGGACACGATGGATCGCGGCGAAGCATGACCGACGACGAAAGCCTGAATTCTGTCCTCCTCCCACCCCACCCCACCCCACCCCACCCCACCCTCGCCCCATCATTTCTCGCCGTTTTCATCGCCCTTGTCACGCAGCTTTCACTGATGCCGAATGCACAATGTTCACAGAGGCTTTGTATGTCCCACATCGTGTGACCTTCGGCGCCGGACACAGACCTCCCCGAGATCCCCCGACACATCCACCAGCACAAGGCATTATAAAACACACACAAGCTTGCGATGTTCGATGTTGGACCGCTTACTGGTTGTATCCCCGCCGCTACAATGCGACGAAAGTATGAGTCACATGATAATAAAAAAAGATATATATATATATATATCATCCCCGACTATATATATAAATATACAATGACATGTGCAAATGTATATCAATCCAATGTTCTCCTCTTGGAGCGTATCTTGCGGCATTTAGCATGACATTGTCAAATTAAGGAGCGGTGAGATATGGACAATAGATTCAACGTGTGACACCTTGTGCGAATATATCGTGTATACATATATGCATAAAAAAAATCTGAGCCAAGATATGTGTAATATAGATATGTGATGCGATACATGTATACACACATGTATGTACATACAACAAATGGAAAAAAAAAGAAAACAAAAAAGAAATAACAGAGATCGTATATAAAATGTAAGGATATATGTACGTACGAAACAATATAAGATCGTCTAACGAGATCGTAGAGGTATCACTGATTAATAAATCGTCTCCTTTCGTCCGCATTGTACCTTGATCGATTAGGCGAAGGAGGGGAGATCCCTGCCGGGTGTACCCTGTATACGGATAAAATGTCAAGAACGAAATTACCCAGCGGCAAATCACCTGTGTAAAATCGCTCCCTGTGTCTTGATCGGAGCTTGGAATGCGCTGCCATGCCGTGGAATGGAATGGAGAGGCTTGCACTTGGGCGGAAACAAAAAAAATCAGAGCCACCAGCTTTCACGCACTGCCGCGTTATCTCGATGTCACAGCGCGCGCGGCGAACGGCTCCGTGGAATGCTTTGTTTGGTGTGTCGACTCCGAGACAGATTTTGGCTTCTGCTTGGAAGATATGTACGAGGAAGCACCCCTGGAAAATGGAATGAGCGCCTTCTCACCAACTCCCGCCGGCCTCTCTTTATTGTTTTATCTCTCTTTATTTCTTTCCTTTTACATTGCTCGTCTCGCGTAAGCATCCCGCCTCCCTTTAGTGAGTTGTGTTCCGGCTCGCTCGCCAGCGTGCTCGACATACCGACGGTGGACATGCATTGTCTCGAAAAAATCAAAATTTCGGAATTTGCGGAAATTGGGGGACGATTTCCCGTAAAACCGCAATACCGAAATCCAAATACTGAGACATGTCCTGTAGAAAGAAAAAATTTCCAAAGATATACAGGGTGTCCCATTTAAATTTAAATCCTCCAGGAAAATATCTCGAAAAATATGGAAGATACGGGAAAATATTTCAGACAAAAGTTGCATAGTTTTAAGGGGGACATGAAACAACTATATCAGTTTGTTTACAGATAACGCCACTTTCGAGATATTCACTGATCGTTACTTTTCTTAAACGGAAATCCCAATTTTTTATTATATCATCTTTTTCTATCAATTAATTTGAACAACTTTTGTCTGAAATATTTTTTTATTTGCCTAATATTTTTTGAGATATTTACGGAAAACTTGGTAACTTTTTTAATATTTAACTTGCGATATCTCGTTAACTCATCGTCGAAAGAAAAAATGGTACTAGACCTTTTTACTCTATTTAGTCTCAAGAATATATTGTTACAATAGCATCCTGATTTTTGTTAACTTGATAATTTTGAAATTTCCAAAAGTCGATAAGTTAACAAAAGTTAGGGTACTATTGTAACAATATATTCTTGAGATTAAATAGAGTAAAAAGTCTAGTACTATTTTATTCTTCGACAAATAGTTAGCGAGATATCGTAAGTTAAATATTAAATAAAAAGTTGTCAAGTTTTCCTTAAATATCTTATGAGATATTAAATAAATAAAAAAATTATTCAAATTAATTGATGAAAAAGATAGTGTAATAAGAAATTGGGGTTTCCATTTAAGAAAAGTAATGATCAGTGAATATCTCGAAAATGGCGCCATCTGTAAACAAATTGATATAGTTGTTTTATGTCCCTCTTGAAACCATACAACTTTTGTCTGAAACATTTTTCCGTATCTTCCATATTTTTCGAGAGATTTGCTTGAGGGATTTAAAATGGGACGTCTGTTTATACGGAAAAAAAAGATGGGTGGAATTGATGTAACAATGAACGCGAACCAAACGTTTCGATTGAAAGAAACAGAATTCCTGATTCGTAGAACTGCACTTGACGTTTGCACCAGATCCAGGTATTTTGTTTTCTTCAAACAAAATACCTTTGATTCGTTCATTGTATATCACGTTCATCCAACCAAACCTTTTTTTCCGTGTACAATTATTACACTGAGAAACTATTATTGTGAAAACACTACAAGTGTATTAATATTGATCTATTTGCGTACTCTTGCTGCATTTAACTGAGTAGATAATGCACTCGGCTGTAGAATGACAATTCGATATTTGAATTTCGGCATTATGATTTTTGAGGAAATTGTCATTTTTTAAATTTCAGTACATTTTTTTTTCGGAATAATACATATCTGTCACGCCAACGATTTATTAATTCGATGGATATGCGTTGTGACGAAAAATTCAATCTCGAAATTTCGAAACTAGAAGAATTTTCCGAAAAGTCGCAACATCGAAACCCGAATACTCGATATCAAAGCAATATTCCGCAGTATTATTTTCCTAAAATATATAATCGTTACCTTAGAAACAGTTCGCAAAATAATGGCTGCGTTCAGAAAACACAATAGTCGCACAACGGTTGAGTAATAAACGTTAAAGTTATTGGTCTGCATGTAAAGATCTAACAGTAAAGACCAATAGTCACTAATCGTTCAGTGAGCGCTTTATTCTCCAAACGCGGCCAATATCTTTTCATTCGAGTACACTGTTGCTGTCTTCAAATGAGCAGATATTAATGCAGCCAACTGTACAGGGTGCTAACATCAACATACAGGTCAGTACGACAGGCTGCCTGGCCCTATTTGGACGATAATGCAGAGATTGCCGAAAAAGTCACTCGTTGATCTCGTCGGTAATGATATTTGCAGTGCTCCTAATTATGATGAGTGCAACTATTTTTTGCACCGGAATCGTTTATGACAAGATGAGACCAAGCCTCGTTGAAAATTCTTCATTAAAGTGTAGAATATTCATGTTCTGAACTCTTTTTATCGATAAAAGGTGATTTACGAGTCTTTTGGTTTGTTTATAAGCTGCAAAAACTTCGATAAGCAAGCTATTTTTGATAAAAGAGGCGTCAAAATACAAGATTATATACCGAAAATATGTCGCTTAGTAGTTATCATCGATTAAGTTGTGATCAATAATTTATGCTGCGTTTCCGATCGATTCATATTTTTGCAGAAGCGATCTATTCCAAAAACGATGGGAGAAAGTACATAAGGCTTCTAAATATTTCTGTACCATTTTTTCTAATTTTCAATTCCAATGGAACTTTCCAATGGAAGAAAAAAGTTAAGAAGAAAAAGTTAAGAAATTATGCGAAACAAGAAAATATGTTGCATTATTTATTCCCTTAATTAATACTCTTATTTATTCTGTTTAAATTCGTAATGTTTATTTCTCAGTTTCTTTTTTTTTAATATTTTTTTTTATTTAATGAGGCTCGGCTGCTATCATAAATTTTTACGAGGCAAAATTAGTTGCACTCATCATAATTGGGAGCACTGCAAATATCATTATCGACGAGATCAACGAGTGACTTTTTCGGCAAGCTGTATCGTCCGAATGGTGATAGGATAATCCGTCATGCTGACTTATATATTGATGTTGATGTGACGAGAGAATTACGATATTGCGATAAAATTGTACTTTGGTAGATTATCTTGGATTTCAGTATCACGACCTTTTAGATTGAATTGAATTGTTGAAATTTTAATACATTTTTTCCGTAACAACACATATAATGCATGTTCACCGTTAATTCATTAATCGAAGGGCTGAGGCGCGAAGGAGCAATATCACACACATGCAAATGTATTTTAACCCCTTAGTTTAATGACGGAAACATCCGCGGGAAGAAAAGTGGTCTAAGCTGTTGATGACCAAAATATCCGCGCATTTAGAAAAAAAATACTTATAACAGACCAATCGGAACAGGACACTATATTTTTATGTTTCTGAGATCGCTGAATTCAAATTCAAAGTCAAAATTGCGAAATTCAAGATAACAGATCTGATATGGTGGACCGAAAATTCAAAAAATCGTTCGATTTGCATAAGAATTAGAATCCCAAGATTTCTGAAGCCGCTGATTTCAAATTCAAAATAAAGATTCATGAATTCAAAATAGCGTCCTTGAGAAACTCCCAATAAAACCTTTTATGAGAATCGGAGTTTTTGGATATTCGGTCTGCCGTATTGAAACCGCCATGTTGAATTCTGATCTCAAATTTAGATTTAGTGACCCAACAAACTCATAGAAAGCATCTTGTTTGTAATTTAATTAGCTCCATTGTCAAGATCACTTTGGGCGTATGAGCATTTCCATCACCCAACAGCTAAGGGGTTAAACACCCGAGAAGTTACGAATTAGACTTGGATGTGGAGGAGCACGCATCCCCTCTCTTCTTCGATCTTGTCCCTTCGATTAATAAGCCCCTTCGATTCTGCTGATTGGAAGGCGGAGTGAGAATTGCGTTGTTCTTCCCGAGGATGGCGTTTGCATACCATTTTGTGCACTGCGAGAAACGCGCATGCATGATGACCGCCGGCTCATCCCACCGGCGATTTGCACGTGAATTGTGACAGGATGATGTACATTTAATGCGAAAATTGTAAGTCACTTCGCTCCCTCTACGAGAGGGTAGATTGCGCGTTTCGTAATCTTAGGATAATTATGTTGCTGTCGTTAACGTTAACGAGATGTTAACGGTACTGTGATAAGATCGACACGTGGGCACGCGAGGCAGCACGAAGATCTCGACTCCGACCACTGACTGACGACTCATTCGCCGACCTTGTTAACTCGCGAGAAACCCCGTCGAGATTGACGGAGCTCGCTGCGCGCAGAAATGCGCGGCCCTCGAATGTAGTAGACATTATTGCGTGCAATTTATTAGTTAGTTCATTCAACGGCATTGATGAAGCAAAAGTAGGTACACAGGTAGAAAGAACAAGAGGGCAGGGGGTGGGTGTAGAGAGCGAAAGAGTCCTCTTTGTGTAAAGAGGAGTAGTCTCCGATTGCGCGCGATCGATCAAGCATTCTTAAGCGGCTAGACTTAGATAATTAGAACTCCGCGCTGAGATCGATATATATGAATGAAGGATTATTATTAGACAAAGCATTCCCGGGCTTCGTCTGCGTTGCATTGCCTTGCATATCATCGGCACTCTTGGAAACAGAAAGGAGATCTTTTTATCCTCTGAAAAGTTGTATAAAATCGCCTCTCGCTTCTCTTTTTTTCTAAATAATACGCCGCACGTGTCGGCCAGCTCAGAACGACGCCGGCGATAATTTACACGTTTTCCCACCTCGTAATCGCTCGTGTCGATACGAGCGCGCTGTCAAGGAAACGAAGATTACAATGGAGAACGAGCAATTTGCAATTTGTACTTTGCGAAACTGGAATGCGAGAGCGGATAAGCAGTCCGCCGATATGTACACGTGTCTGATCCCGTTATTTTCAAGACGTGCAAGTTTTCCCGATGTCGCCTCCTTCCCCCCTCTTTCTCTCTCTCTCTCTCTCTCTCCCTCTCTTCTTTTTTTTCGATGAGATTGCTAAAGTCCACGGAGCTGTCGAAGTTTACATAACGCTGCGAGATTAATGGATGAAGTCCGATCCGATACTGCTGCAGTTACTATTTGACGCTCGAGAGTCTGATAACACGCGATGTTGAAATTCCCGATTAATATATGCGTTTTACTTGTTCATACGCATCCGGGTAAATGTTTAGCTAGCAAGTGGGCGGTAGTAGCAAGCAGCAACAGCGGCAGCAACGGCGGCAGCAACGGCGGCAGCAACACGACGGCGTTGCAGCGACTTAAACTGTGGAAACGTGGAGAGACTAATCCTTGCTTCTCTCTTTCTCTCTTTCTCGTCTCTTGCGTATCGGGCGTTTCATTTATCGTTTATATATGCCGCCCTTTCCGGTCTTCGTTTCGTCCGCCGCGTCGCGTCGCGATTACTCCGTCCAGTGAATTTCATCTCTCGTCCCTCTTAATTGTGTCCCGCGATCG